ACCTCTTCCATTTAAAAAGTGATAAATTTGATAGAAACAGAAAGTAGAACAGTGGTTGACAGAGGCTCCTGGGAAGAGGAAATGAGGAGTTACTGTTTAATGGGTATAGAGTTTCAGTTTCAGAAGATGAAAACGTTCTGGAAATGAATGGTGATGGTTGCATGACAATGTGAATAGACTAAATGCCACTGAGCTGTACACTCAAAATGGTTAAAATGGTAAATTTTATATACATATATATACACATACATATACATATACATATATATCTTACCACAGTTTTTTAAAAGTGATATACTCATGCATCCCCAGCCAAGGACCAAGAAAAGTCACAAAAGCATGCCAGCATGCATACTTTTTGTTCTTATGACCAGGCTGATGGTCAGGCTTAGATAAAAAGGCACAGGCAACATCTGCTGGAAGTATTCGGCTCCCCCTCTTTCTCTTTAGAGAGATTTTCTGTCCTCTCTGATGGTGAGAATTACTAAATTTACTATTTGTCTGGCAGTCAAAGTACTTAATGCCTTAGTCCTCACCTTCCATTCTCCTTCTGTCCAAGATTTCCTCCTATGCTCTATCTGAAAATCTACCTCACAAATTTCCTCAGTTCTATCAGTGATGTTAGTCATTGTTAATTGCCACACAAACATGCCTATTCCAGGTACAATCCCATCTCCCCTACCTCCCACCCTATATTATGGGCTCTCTACCCACACCTGTATATCTTGAGACAGCAAATCATGATTTGTCCTCTTGAATTCACTTCTCAATTCACAGGCCAATTGCAAGCATTTTAGTATTATCTTAACTGTTCACCTTGTCCCCTATGTTTACCACTCAGATTTATCTTTCACAAAAAATTCTTACAAGAACATCACTTTTATCTTGGCATTTCCTTTTTTAAAATCAATTAATGATGATGATAATACCAACAACACAGCAACAGCAGGAGCTAACATCTGAGGGCTTACTATGGGCCAGGATCAGGTCCTGGTTGGATCTTACCAGGTTGGACCAGGGGTGTCCAACCTTTTGGCATCTCTGGGCCACAGTGGAAGAAGAGTTGTCTTGGGTGACGCATTAGATACACTGCGACATGTAATCACAAAAAAAATCTCATCATGTTTTAAGTAAACGTACGATTTTCTGTTGGGCTGCATTCATAGCCATCCTGAGTCACATGTGGCCTGCAGGCCACAGGTTGGACACCCCTGGGACCAGGTATTGTACTTAGCTACACACATGATCTTATTTAATTGTCAAACAGACTCATATACATTATTACAGCCATTTTACAGATGCCAAAACAAAGGCTATACTGCAGGGGTTATTGGTCCAGAGTCCATACATCTAAAAAAGGTCGGTGAGCATCCTTCAAGAAAGCAAGAACTTCCTCAAATGGCAATGCATGAGGTTGCAAGGATGTGCCTCCGTGAATTTTCCTGGGGAAAGGGTTCATAGCATTTATATAAAGGAGTGCATAGCTCAAACATTTAAGTTAATAAGTTAACATTATTAACTTCCACTACACTATTTAAACATTTTTAATTAAACCTACACAAAATTCCTGAGTAGGATGTTAGCTGTCTTCCAAGACTAGAGGACCTCACCCCCGCCCGACACCCACACCCCATCTATCTCCTTCCCTTGTGAAGCCATGATCATTTTCAACAGCGGATCTTCATACTGTTTCCTACCTGGAACCAATTCCCAAATCCAAAGCCTCTCCAACGTTTCCAAAAGCTTAGCAGCAGACCCACCACTAAACCGTCGCTGCCTACCCCAGCCCCATTGACATCACATGGTTTCGAAGCACACACAAGTACACACAGATTCCAACAGGAAGCCCCCTCTTCAGCCCATTTTCTCACCCACTCGTACTCACAATACACACTCTGATGTGCACCTGCTTCACACCCCCTGACACTCTACATTCACTGGGTCACACAGGCACTGTCACACTCGGTGAACACTTTGTCACATCTTGACATAATACTAGTTCTCCTTAATAACTCTATCTCACACACACTGACCTAGGACCTCGATTGCCAGGATCTCTCTCGCTCTCTCAGACACACACATACACACACGCACATACACAGAGGCTCACTGGTCCACAATACTGCCCACGATCTCACCAACAGTGTTTCACAGACTGACAGTCGCTGTACTCCACAGGCGCTCCGACAAACACCCAGCACCGCTCCCCCTCGCGCCCCGCCTCACCCGATGCTGGTACAGGCAGACGTTCCCGAAGCCGCCGGTGCCCAGGCGCTCACGCATTTCCCAGGGCCCGCCCTCGCCCGGCCGCAGCCCCGGGGGCCGCTCCATTGGGCGGGAGGGCAAGCGTTCTCAAGTTCCACCACCGACCCAAGGCCGGTTCCGGGCCGTCGAGGATCGCGCGTCTTTCTTCTCGCGATACGGATGCGTCACTTCCGATGACTGTCCCAGGAAAAGCCCCGCCCCAAGTTTTCCCTGGGGGCCGCAGTGGCCCAGTGGCCGCGAAGGTGGGGGAAAAGAAGGAGGGCGCTTTCAATCTGCAAAGTACCGTGGGCATTTTCCTAGCTGAGAACTCACATGTTTTTTCCAGCCTTCAAAAATGAAAGATCTCCCCAGGCCGCACATTCTCTCCAGATCACTTTCAAAACCGGTCTGTCCCGTATTGGTCTTCTCTAAGCTTCAAACGTCTCCACCCCTATCTCCACCTCACCTCCAGACCTCTACCATCTACGCGCCAACCTCACCACCCACTGAGCTGGCACTGCCAAAGGCCATCAATGATTTAAATATTGCAGAATGTAAAGAACTAGAAAGAATCCTGCGCTAACAGGCCCACTGATGCATTAATTGGCCTTCATAGTTCACTTTTTTTCCCCTTAAGTGATTAATCATCTTCCATGGACGAGTCAGGCTCAGCTCTTCTTTTGTTTGACTTCCTATACACCTGTTTCAGGACATCCCCTATTTTCCCAAACGACTCAAGGATGTGATGCTGTTCAAGAGTAAGTAATGTTCCCCCAGACTTCAGGAGCTTTTCCCCAAAAGTTTCAGAGCTTGCTGACAAGTGGTCGAGTTATGGGTTTGCCAGCGTGGTAGGAAAGCTAGTTTCCTATCTCATCGCACTGGCGATGGGGAAACCTAGTTACGGGTTTCCTCATTATGGGAATCGTCTCATGGGTGATGCAGGGCTACGGAGGCAAGCTTGGGGAATACTGTTGATACATCAAGTGCTTCCAGCCTTGGCTGGTGTGGCTCAGTGGATTGAGCGTCAGCCGGCTGGTCGGTGCTGATTCCCTCAGGGCACAGTCCTGGTTTTCAGGAGGCAGGGGTGGGGCTCAGGTTTGGAGTTTGCCAGAGGCAATCAACTGATGTTTCTCTCGCACATCGATGTTTCTCTTTCTCTCTTACTTCCCTCCCTTCTCCTCTCTGAAAATATTTTTTTTTTAAAGTAATTCCAGTGGCAGATTGCCTAGCACAGGGGAACCAGCTCACCTGGTTTCCCTTTGAGTCAGTCATACATTTTCATCAGAATTGGGGGATCTCCTCAATCACCACGGAATCAAATTCTCTGAAGAAGTGTGTCAGTCTCGTTAAGCAGATTCATTGGCGTCTCCTTTGAGATTGTGAGAACTTGGACCAGCTCAGGTTGTGAAGTCAGTACTCGGAATTCCTACTAACACTGTGCCACCTCAGATGTAACATGTAAGCCGTTTAAAAATCGATAGTGTCTGCACCACAGCAATGTCTCTGGCTGCTTTGAAAGCACTGTACCTGCTCTTGGCAGAGCAAATACATCTATTGTCACCTCCTTGAATACTGCAATCAGATTGTTAACCATGCATGATAAAAAGCGAGTCATGCTATAGGTCACTGGTAATGTGTGCAGTATTGGAAATTCTGGTTTCCCATACCATGGAACTGGAGTGTCAGACTTGGAGGTGATTGTAAACAGTACCTCCAAGAACACATCCCTTAGAGCTGGGCAGACTGCAGTGATGATTGGCACGCGGATTATACTAATAGTATGAAGAAGCCCTCACTTGCTAGGGTGTACAGCATAGCTAGTGCTCGAGTGTCTGACCTCCACAGATGGGACTGAAATCTAATTCTCTCTTGGAGACATGCTGAAGACCTCAGGATTCTGATGACTGGCTGACTCTGTATGGCCACCTTTGCAGGAAACTGGTTGTTTCTCATTGCTCCCCATTCACATGAACATTGCATAGTTTGTTTTTTTTTTAAATCTGGGCTGGTCGACCCCAGGCTCCATAATCTTTAAGTTTGCCAGTCTGTTTTTTCATGTGTAAAATGGAGGTAGCAATGCCTACCTCATAGATATTTTGTGAGGATTAAATGAAATAAGTGTCTGGGCCACAAGTGCCCAATATGTAGGAGCAATTATTTTTCTTTTGGCTTCCAAGATATGGCATTCTCCCGTGATGTCTCTTTCTGCTCCTCCATATACATGCATGATCACTCTATTTCCAAAAGAGTCATCTTTGGCTTATGACTGTATTCACTCTATCTTATTTTCATTCATTCTCATAATTTCACCTATGGCCAATACCCTGACAATCCCCCAAACCCTATCACCAATCCAGATCTCCAAGAGTTTAACAATCCAACAGCACACTAAAACTCAACATATCTAAAGCAGAAATCTCTTAAATCCATCCCTTTTCTTCCCAATTCTGTAAACTGGGACAATAGAAACCATGTTGGGACATAGCTATACTCCTGGAGTCTGAAAAAAGCCCTGGCAAGTAGGAGTTAAATATTTGCTGAAAGACTGAATGAGCTTTTTTATGTATCAATAAGTTGAATGCTATAAAAATGGCAAAGGTCCTGGGTCCCTTCTCCATCTTAAGTTGCCTAGGGGGAAGGCACCTGTGAGATGCTTGGATAACGGCTGGGCCTAAAGCCCTGGTTCCTCCTACCACACACACACACTACTTCATTTTGATGGTTATAGGCAACATAAAGATAAGGCACCTCCCAACCATGGAAAAGCATGTAGATTTTATTTGATAATTTAAATGTTTTTGAAAATGTGGATAAACAAAAGCGATACTAGGAGCTAGATGACAAACATGCTTTTAACGTAGGATTTCCATCCTAGAATGTGACTTTTTCTGAAAAACATTCAGCTTTAGGCCTCTTGGTGCAGACAGGTTCCATGGGAATGTACCAAAAAGAGGCAGGAAAACAGTCCCCACAGGAGACTGTAATTTCTTTAAAAAACTTCACTCATCCACAGTGAAGTCAAAGGGCTCAAAGTCTTTCCGGAAGCGGCGAGCCAGGGCCTCCTCCTCTTCCTTACTGGTCTGGCACTGCCGCCAGTCAGACTTGTCAGGAATATTGAGGATGGCTTCACTTGCCAGGACCTCCCTGCGGAAAAAACACGAGGAAGTCAACATGGACAGCATTAGTCTGAAACCACCCTCTCGTGCCGTCCTCTTCAGAGAGCTCTCCTCAATGTCACCCGAAGAAGGCATGCGACTTCCTCCACCTCTACTCATACCATCTTCTCTTCCCTGAGTGCCATCTCTGCCATTCTATCAAGATCATACCCATTTTAAGTGACCAGCTCAGATCCTACCTCTGTTTCTTTTTTTTTTTTTAAAGATTGTATTTATTTGTTTTTAGAGAGAGGGGAAGGGAAGGAAAAAGAGAGAGAAACATCAACATGCAAGATAAACATAGAATGGTTGCTGCTTCATGCCCCCAACCAAGGACCTAGCCTACAAACCCTTTTGGTTTGTGGGACAACACACTCACAACCCACTGAGCCACACCTGACAGTCAGGGCCTACTTCTTCTTAACCCCCTACATCCCAGTTACTTCTCTGAACAACCTGAAACTACATTTATTGGTACTTAGAGAGGCAACGTGGCTCGGGAGAATGAGGACAGGCCCCGGGACAGAATGATCAGAGATGATTCCATTCCTAGCTCTGCCACTAGCTGTCTATGACTAGCATAGGTGATTACATCTGAGTCTTGCTTATGAAATACAAAAGAACAGTTTTGTGAGATATGGAGATAACACAAAGCACCAATCAGCTGTGATTACATCCTGCCTTAACTCTAGTTTCATCATCCCAATTAGAGCATGAGTTAGCTAAGGGCGTAGTGCAGTCAGGCATCTAGTACCATAATCCACCGACTTTCTGCCTCTACTTTTAGGGAATTTAGGGCTACACAGGCACAACAGCACAGGCTCAGTATAAAAAAAAGAGAGAGAAACAAAAACAAGAAGTTACATACAGACACATATACAAGCTAGCTTTTAATTGCCACTGCTTTATATTTATTAATTTTTACTTATTCTGCTATATTAGATGTAACTGTTTGCACATCTATATGGATCATTTCCCACTTTACAGCTACAATAAATAGAAGAGCTGAAAACAAATCACATGAGTTTTCTAAAGTCATAGGACCTGAGTGTAATTTCTAGCTGCCTGGGCAAGGCTTGAACCTACTTCTTTGCCTGTAAAATGAAGACAGAACTACCTTTCTTGTACAGCAGCAGGGGGAGTCTTTTCATGTATTTTGTTAACTACAAAATACTAACTGTAAGTTAGCACATTTACAAAAACACTCAGCCATCCTGAGCATAGTATCAAAGAATCTCTCTTTTGCAGGCTTATGTGCCTGTGTGTATCTGTTATCACCTGCCTATCATCAGTGTTCACGTCTGCATCTGTTGCTGAGGCAACAGCAAAGATAATGTCAAATGTTTGAAGCTTTCAATACAGTTGTTCGTTTGTCAATTATCTTTCTGAAAATGTAGATAACTACATCTATTGGACTTATCCAACGGTGGGAATCTCTTGGAGGCTTTCCAAATTAGACCAAGAAAAGGGCGCAAGGTTGACTCAAAGCTCAGTTCCAACTAGGGTGAAAAAATAGCTGCAGACCACAGACACCAGCATCAGATAATCTGCTCTACAGTATTTTGATTCCCTTCAATACTCAATCTCTTCTAGTCACCAAATTCCTGTCTTCAGTCTTTGCCTAGTTCATACCACTCCCTGTATGGTGTTGCTGTTACGTTCTGCCTGATAGGAGAAGAAATGAATACGCATCCAAAACAATGATGGTAAGGCCTCACATTTTGTGGTCCAACAGTCCTGGATTTGCACCCACCACTGTGTGACCATGGACAAACTACCTAACCACTCTCAAGCCATGCTCTAGGAGCCAGTACTCATATACAGACATTTACATTTTAATCCAAATTAATATAAATTAAAAATTCAGTTCCTCACTCACATTAGCCACATTTCAAGTGCTTAGTGGCCACTTGTGGCTAGTGATTACTGCACAGGACAGTGCAGATTCATGGGGCATTTCCATCACTGGGGAAAGTTCTGTTGGGTACTGTTCTAAAGCCTCATCTTCCATACTGGTAAACTGAGATGACAGTACCTACCTTACAGAGCGGGGAGATTGGATGAGGCAATGCATAGGAAGTTCTTGGCACAGTGTCAGACACAGAACATCTGTTTAAGGGTAGCTCTCCATTCCCCAGGATACTACTCCGACAGTCCAATGTCTGCCCTCTAAATCTCTCTCTCAGGCCAACCTGAAGCCTTTCATCTATCCGACATAAGATCTTCCTTCTCTGAATTTCCAAAATACACTGCTCCTCAAAACTGTTAGGGTACTTTTCACATTACTGTCATATATGTAAATATCTGACTTGCCCTAAGACTATTGCTTCCTTGGGGCAAAAACTGTTTCTTATTTGGCTTTTTATTTAACTGTCCACTCAGCCCACTATTTTGTTCAGAGAAGGTCTAGTACAAATATATTTAAAATAAGAAAACTACACCCTGGCCAGTGTGACTCAGTTGACTGGAGCATCATCCTGAAAATCAAAAGGTCAAAGGCTCGATTCCAGGTCAGGGCACATGCCTAGGTTGTGGGTTTGGTCCCCCATCCGGACATGTACGAGAGGCAACCGATCAATGTTTCTCTCCCACATCTATGTTTCCTTCCCTCTCTTTCTCCCTCCCTTCCCTTCTCTCTAAAATCGATAATCATGTCCTCAGGTGAGGATAAATAATAATAATAAATAAAAACAAAATAAGAAAACTATACAAACCTTCCAAACTGCAAAGGAAAATTCTTTTTAATTCTGTGGAAAAGCTTCTCTCCTGTGTCAAGTTCAACATAAAAGTATGCTGCTCCTGGCTGTGCAATCTAAAGTAAACAGAGCTGCATGAGGACACACGATAGTGCTTTAAAAATCTAAAATCCTGCCCATCTCTTAAAAGCCTCAATTTGGTAAAGAATTCAGAGTAGAAACACAGAGGACACCGGTAGCTATAGGCCCCAAGCCACTCAGGGGAACTAGAGTTTAAGAAGCCGACTGGCAGATACTACAAAGGCCCTCCCAGTGGCACCCGTCCTTCTAAGTTCCTGCCTTAGGAAGTGTCTAATTTCTTGCTCTTCCCCAGACAACACTGAGGCATTGCTATAACGCCATCTTTGTCTCCAATATAATCAATACTCCAAGCTCTTGTTCCAAATTGTCACCTGTCTATTCAACATTTTTGGAATGCCTTGACAGTACCTCAGGCTCACGGGTCAGAAAGCAGGTTTTCACTTCTCCCTGAACATCCCTGCCCTCCTGTTTTACCTGCTTGATGTCAGAGTGCTCTGGGATCTCCAGCAATTCTATCTGTTGCTCCTGTGCCTGGGTAATGAAGGCGTCCTTAATGTCATCAGTGGCGCAGCGGCTGAGTGGCACAGGAATGACCTGGGGGGCGGGGTGGGGGGGGAGATGAGAGAAATTCTTCATGCAGGTCCCAGGGAGGTCGTGCCTCCTGTAGTTCCTGAGAAGGAGCAAATCCATCACAGGGGTGGAGAAATACCCCTCAGCAGAGACTCTCCTCAGGCCAGACAGGCCCCGTCAGCCTGTCTGTAAGGACTTAAACTTATGAGACAGCCTGCCACATGTGGGAGCCAACTTCCACACGCCGGGAAGGCTAGAGAGCGGTCGCTTGGTCATCAAGCCTCTGCCGGCTCCTGTACAATATCTGTGGCAGAGTCAGGCCCATTTGAAAACTTAACAAATGTGCCAAAAGAAAACCACCACAATCACAACAAATTAACCATAACAACCTCCAAATGGCTGAGCTGCTAGCCCCATTCACTGACGCTGGGCTTCACACAGAACACCCAATCTCTTCCAAACTCTACCTATCAAGGCCTAAATCTTTCTTGAAACCCTCCTCAACTACCCATTCCTTTTCTAAAACAAAGCACTTACTGTATGCGCAGTTCACTTATACTGACAACACACGTTCCTGTGAAATCTCCGGAGTTACCACTAGATGCTCTAACCTTTTAAACAAACATTGTTTAAATACTAACATGAAAATTCATGTTAAAATTTTAAAATATAAAATATTTAGTTTTGGGGGGAGTGGTGGGCATAAATGCAGACAACTATAATTGAACAATAAAATACTTTTTTAAAAAGTAAGTAAAATATTTAGTTTTTTATTGGAATCAAACACTCAAATATTAATCAAATTACTGAAATTAACATTATGTAGGCCCCCCCTAGGGCCCTTTCCAAGTTCTTCAGCAGAGACCACCTACCTGGAGCTGGAGGTGATGGCTCTTATAATTTCTCTCAAATAGAATACACCGTTTCCCTCGGCTCTTAAAGAACCTCCTCAGTGTAGCTTTGTATTTCTCCACCTCTTCCACCACCTCTGCTGAAAGGTCCACCACTGACTGGTAGTGTCCAATGGGCAGGATAAGGACATGGTCATCAGACAGGCCTCCTTTGGCCAGGGCAAGGTAGCACTGAAGATGGAGCACACAGCAGCGAAACATCAATACTGCACATGTGATCCTTCAAGGCGAGAAGCTTATACAAAGAACAAGTTAGGGGGAGGGGGAGTGGAGAAGAGCTGAAGAGGCCATTAATAGAAATTCTCCAACTTTTAAAAGTCTGATTTAAAGATTACCACAACAGTGTTCTCAAGTACCTGCTGAAGAATGAGATTAGATGCAACAAATTTCTTTATGAGCATCAAATGATTTGGGAGCAAATGAAAAATAGCCTTTTGGCTTCAAACACCAGAGCTGAAAGGGACCAAGACAACAAACAGACTCTGAACTTGAAAACAGTTTTTCAGTTACTATTACCGTCAGCCACAGAAAGATATCAATTCTGATTTCAAAATGACCACTCTCCCTACAGTAACATCCAGTCTAACCCCAAATACATCCCCAACTCACAAAAAGGACTAAGGTGACATGACTGGCATACAACGTCCCTACACCTTAACCTGCTGACTAACCTCTACAAAGTGGAAGCAACATACCAAACTTCAAGAAAGAGAAACCTCAAACTCAAGTATATCCAATAAGGTAGATAATTATGGTTCCAACAGTGGAACCATGGTGGCAGCTAAATAGCAACTAAAATCATTTCTGTTAAAACCCAAACATGTAAGACTGCTCTACCCTCAGACATTCGTTGAAGGAAAAAACACGGTAAGTAGAGAAAAGCCAATGTACACCAATTCGGGCCCGTGAAGGTACCAGAGCTTCCGAAAGAACAATCTGAAATATACTATTAGTGTGGTGGGTGCCAAGTTAAGGCTGAAGGAAAGAGCCATTTATTTTTTATCTGCACTGAAAAAGTTCAACAGAACGACAGCACAGGCATGGGAACGAATGAAGGCAGGACCACCTGTGCCCTGCTTGGCAGAAAGGATTGAGCACATCCACAAAGCTAATTTTCCAGATGACTAAAGTTCATCTAAACTTCGTAAGCACTAAAGCATTTTCTTAATTTTTACAACAACCATTTTTTATTGTTTCTTTTAAAAGCTTACTCTAGGAAGCCTGTGTCTTCTAGACTTTTCTTTATGTCAGAGGGTCACCGCCATAAACAGCAGTTTTTATGATATACATTGAGGTAACTGAAGCTTTCTGGTCTAGACTAACTAGCAATCTCCTTCCTCCCTTTCAAACTCTCACCTAATCTGTTCTGTACTTGAATTATCTCTGTCATCTCAAATGTATGAATAGGCCCTGAATGAATGCTTCCACTATACTAAAATGTGTGGACTCGGAAAAAGTTACTTTGGACTCTTAGCAGCCTTCCCCTCCTTTTACCCATTTGTGGCCACAGGCCATTGGCATAGTTCTAATGTGTGTCCCTTGAGGAACGCCAGAGGGGGAAAGTAATGAAAGGAGATGAAGAGGAATGGATGTAGAGAGAGGACTCCAAGTCCTCTGCCAGACACCAAAGATCACCAGAGGTTCCCAACAGGTTTCCCCCAGACAAAGGACAGTGTAGGGAAGTGTAGACTGGATTACTAGGTAGGTGGTAAAATACTCATGTGGCCTCCTACTTGGGGGGGCTGGGCTGGGCCACAATTAAGACCTAGGATGCTTTCTGCTCCTCTAGCTTCAGGGCTAGGTGAGAAACAAACAGGTTTCCTCCATTATCCCCTAGGCTCATGTCCTGGGTGGCAGAAAGGTGACGGGAAGAGAAAGGTCATTTCTCCCCAAGGCCTAAAGCAAGCACCTCTTTTACCCTGCATGGCATTTTGAACCTACTGAAGCTTCCAAAAGAGAAGGCGGTCTTGAGCCTGACTTACCATTCAATGTGTGAGGAAGAGAAGAATGGCATAAACTAATCCACAGAGGAAAACAAGGGCCAAAAGAGAGAACCCAAAAAGGGCATTCTTATAAAAGCAAGAGCTTTCAAGTCTGCTCTTCTCACTGAAGAGTTCATCCACAGTTTCCACTGTCCAACTGTGTCAGCCCATCAGCGCTCCCCCAGGAGACAGAAGTGTGCCAGTAACAACATAAAAATTAAAAGTAAAAGACTGGGGCTATTCAATCTCAAACAACAAAGGCAGGAAAGGGATGTGACCTAAAGTGTAAGATGAAACTGAGATTCTAGTTGGTCAGTATATATAGAAGGCCACACACAATAAAGGACCCTCAGACTGTCAGGGTAAGTTGAGGAAAAGGTCACACTCAGAGACCAAAATTAAAATAAATCAACCAAAAACGGACTAAAGTTTCTGTCTGTCGAAGCACCACGCACTGAGAACTGGTTGTAAATATCCACCTCAGGAGCCTCAGCAAACAGTTAATTCTGGCCATGAGTGACGGGTGTAACTGTAACCCTGAAAATCAAGCCTTTTTCATTCTAAGCGAATGAAAGGGGACCTAAGTCTGTATGGATCCCAGTGGAATGTGGATCAAAGACTAGCATTAAATTCAGTACCAAACTGAGGTCTGCTCAAGGAAAAGTACCTAGAGAAATCTGAAATAGAATAACTTTACTGTGAGACATGCACGCTTCATCCAAGTCCACAGCCTAAGTAAGATTATCCTCAAGATCACCCAGTTCTCATAGTCTGACTCAATGCTTACCGAGCAACCTTGTAATTATTACTTGGTTCCCAGACACTCACACCAGGAACGTGGATACGGGGATTCCTGTCACTAGGAAGCTGTATCTGCTACTACTAGGCAACAGTGAGAATTTCTTGCTTTTTAGTAGTATGTAATAAAAATATAGAGTTCAAAAGTATCTAAAAGCATCACCTTCGGAGATCCACACCTATTTATCAGACAGGGAGGAAGGCGGGGAGCAGCCTTGTGAAACTGGCACTATAAACCACAGAACTGCCATAATGAAAAAGACGGATAACAACAACTGGTGAGAAGACGGAAAAACAGGACCCCATATATACCTGCTGGTGTGAATATAAGGTGGAACAATCACTTTGGAAAATAGCATGGCAGTATCGTAAAAGATTAAAACTTAATTCCATTCCTAGGTTTCCCTTCAAGAGAAATGAATATGAACGTCCACACAAAGACATGCATGCAAATGTTCGTGGCAGCGTTATTCCTACCGGCCATAAGGTGGAAATAAGCCAAATGTCCACTTACTGAGAAATATACAGACAAAAAGTAGCATATGTCTACATGATGGAATATTACTTAACAGTAAAAAGGAATGGAATACTGATAGATGCTACAACATGGATGAGCCGCAAGAATATTACGTAAAGAAGCCAGACACAAAGATCACGTATTATACAATTCCACTTGTATGAACTGTCTGAACAAGGTACACCCATGGAAACAGAGCGCAGACTAGTGGTCACCTGGGGCTGAAATGGGGAGTAACTGGAAAAGGACACGTGGGAACTTACGGGAGTGAGAGGCCTGTTCTGAAACTGTGATGGGTGCACACCTTGGTGAGCTCACTGACAACTACTGAATCGTACACTTACAGTGGGTAAATTTCACAATATGTATACTGACTTGATAAAGTCACAGAAAACAAACGGTGTCTCCTCCTCTGTAAAAGATCCATGAAAGTAACTTACGTGTGTGCCAATGTTGACCACCAAATGCTTTTCCACTTCAGGGCTGGCAAGGCAAAACCAGCAGGGTCCTGGAGGCTGAGCTTCAGATGGAAGAAAGCCAGATGTTATTACAGTCCAAACACTCCAGCATATAACCACCCTGGTCTGATCTTCTTGCCCTGCAAAGACTGTATACCAGTACAGCACAGTCGCAGGGGGCTGGGCCTGCTGTGCTCCCACTACACCTCCTACCCCATTAACACTATCGATGAAACTAAACCTTCGTTAGAAAAATCTTGAATTTGTAACCATTCCACATGTAGGTGATCCACAAGTGACAACCACACATTGACTGAAGTAGCACGTAACTGGCAACAGGCTGCAATGAAAGAACACTGAACTGGGTGTCAGGAACCCCAATCTTAGTCTCAGCTTTGCCACTAGCTAGCCGCATGACTGGGTAGTAAGTTTCCCCAAGGTCAGCTCCTTCATCTTTGAAATGAGGGGGTGGATAAAAAAAATCTCAATGAAATAGTCTTAAAGTCTTTTCCACCATTTTGATTATGCTATTACTTTATGAACCTACATTAGTTTTCATAGGCTCTTTAGCTCACGTTTTACAGACATGAAAGGAGCTGGGCCCGTAATTCTCATAGAACAGTCTCAGACAGCCTCAAAATCAAGTTGTCTTTGTATTATTTCATTGTTGTTACTGTCCTAATGACTCGCTGCACAATTCCCACTGCCAGAAGAGGCTCTCTTAGTGATGCTGCTTCCCAAACAAGACCCAAAATGAGAGTGGTCGCTGACACAGGAGAACCCTGGAGCCGGGGTACTTACGAGGTTTGCGAGGCTGCTTTGGGTGAGGGGAAGACTTGCTCTCTCTGCCTGTGGATGAACGCTTCCTCCCCTGCCTTTCATTTAAGTCAAAGAAAAATTGACAGGCTGACTCTTCCTGGAATGGCCAAAGGTAGAAGAGTAGATGTTACTAAACTAACCTCTAGACAAGTACAAAACATTCACATCCAAAGGAACATTCCGGCCAATGTAATGTCTATCTTTTCTCCCAGCCGTTTCTGCCTATTTTGGCAAAGATGTCTGGATTCTCAGTCATACTTCTCAACACTTATCCGAACTGCCACCAAAATCATCTCTTTGGAAAAGCAAGTTAAAGTCCAAGTTATAGAGCAATTCTTGCCTAAAACAACAGTATCAATTCATCCAAATTCCTTTCCCTTTCTCTCTCAATGCAGTCCTATGCTTCACAGCTCAAAGAACTCTAACTGAGATTTAATTAAAAGATAAGAAGATTGCTCATAAAGAGAAAAAGTCTCAGAAAGCACACTAATTTCCCCCTCATTTGACATCCCTTGTAGTAGTGAGGGGGAAATTAATTTCAGGAAAGTGTGCTATTCAGAAATTTCTTCAGAGTGAACCCTCTTCACCTACTAGCACTCCCTGTAAAATCGCAGATTACACTGCTGCCAAGCAGTTGAATCTGTGATCCCTGGATCCCTGAATCTGTGAATCTGGATCCCTGACTGAAAAGCTAGAAATAGAGAATCAACTTTGGATTTAAAAAATAAAAAAAGACAAACTATAAAACTGTTAAGCCCAAACTACAATTAAAAACAGTAACAACAAAATACTGAGCTTACTTAAAATTTAAGGCTTTCTAAACACCACCATGATTTCCCGGGGGGTAGGGCGGGGAGTATTTAGATTCTAGGAATTAAACTTGTCTCACAAATTAAACTATAACACATGTAAGGAGCAGTCCTGCCCAGAACTGCCACCTCTCAATCACAACATACCTCGGGGGCAGGAGTTTGTCTTCCCACAAATGCTTCCTTCCCAGATTTTCTGTAAGGGTTTTCAGTGACATCTGGAGGCTGTTTTACCAGTTCTGCGGCATCCATTAGTTTCATGGGGACAATACTAAATGCATAAAGGTACTTTGGAAAAAAAAACAATACAATAACATTAATGGAAATACTGTTTATCCAAATGTAGATCTATTTTATTGTAAAGATTTCACAGAAGCTTCTGAAACTAAGCAAAATTTAAAAAGCAGCAACTGGCCATCTGTGGCTCAGAGAATTCCTAGTAAATCAAATGCCAATTCAGTGATCTCTGCAGGAGCTAACCAAGGGCTGGCAAGTAATAAGCAACAAACCAAAGTTCCCACCCTTCCACAAAACAACCATCACCACAAAGCCCAGAAGGAACTGCTCCATAAGCTTTGAAGACAAACTGCTCCGACTCTGAGTCCGGTACCTTCCTGTACTTCGTCAGCAGAATCACGGCACTGCCATTCCTTTTTCTAATGAAACCTACACCGGACAACTTAGCATTTCCCTCTGGCATGATACAATTTCTGCTGTCTATGCTGGTAAATTTTCTTAGGGACTGGTAGCAAAGAGGTAAGTGGTTATATGAATACCTATAATCTCAGACTAATTATATAGTAATTGAGAACTTTAGATGAAATGTAAAGATGCTTAACCTCACTATTGATCAAGGAAATGCAACTAACTGAGAATGATACACCATCTTCATCTATCACTCTAACAAAAATTTTACACCACCTAGTGAGAATGTGGATAGAAAACAAACTCATACATACACTGCTGGTGGGGATGTACACTGGAACAAAATTTCGAGATGAATTTAATAATGCTTCCCATAGTTCAAAATGTGCATATTCTCTGACTGAAGTATATAAATTGCTTAGGGCTGAGGCCAACACATCCCTGAAAGTAAGGCAAGACTGCAAATACTATAAGTGATATTCAGTCTTTAAAAGGCAGTAAAAAAAAAAAAAATAGAAACCTAAACTTGCTAAGAATGCTTTGGGGTTAAAAGCTTAAGATACTATGGAAAAGACAAAATATGTATTTGCTTATCTTTTGCATGTACATTGCTTATGGCATGTTACAGTGAAAAAAATCTCCAGATTATTTATCCATTTTCCTGCTTGACCAATTGTTCTGATCTTATTAGCTGTCTTAATCCACAATATCCTGCTTTGGGCCCTACAGAAATCAGAGGCACTCTCAGTGAAGTAAGAAAAACAGTGCACTTTTTTGGTAATAGTCTCTTTCATTCACCTGTACTGTTTTCCAGGACAAAGACAAGATTCCAGGTATCACTAAGATATCTCAAAGCCAAGGAGGGCTTAAGTGAATCCTTGGGAGGATTTTATTATTTCTGCTAAATAAAGTTGCTAAAATAAGCAATGTAAGATTACCTTCTGAGGGCAAACTCATGAACACCTGCAGAGACAACCACATGGACATGGGAAAAAATATCATTCATTTGAAATTTTGCCTTTGTTCCACTGGGCCTATTTTTCCAAACACTTGTCTAAAATCTCCTACAAAGAACCCAAGAAAACCTGACCTTTTACTACCACATCTTTACAGAGGAGCCGCGGCACTGCGGCTGAGAAGAGATCTGAATGCTAAACTGGGAAAGAGAAACATCTACCAAGCAGGCAATGATTATCAATCTACCCCTAAATATTCAAATCTTTTACCTTTTTCTTTTCTGGATTTCCAACATTTGCCAAAGCTATGAACCTGGTTGCATGCTGTGCATTTTCTTGCAGAACGATGTGGTTTCTGCAATACAGTTGAGAGGTAACAGGTTACCAACAAACTTTACTTCTCACAATGATAAACTGTGTGGACTCCATGGGGCTGTGAAAGGGTCCTGGGTCCATCACCACCAGTAACATAATCTCAGATGTTACTTGTCCATCCAACAGGGTAATCATCCCTACCTCCCAGAGCTGTTGTTAGGGGAAAATGACATCAAAAATCTGAAAAGAGTAAGAACTCCAACTTTTGATTTTAAAAGAGTTGTAAAACTGGCATCATGTTGATAATTGCTAAGGCTAGGTGATAGGTACAGGAAGGTTCATTATACTGTTCTCTCTTCTTTTGTGCAATAAAAAGTTATAAAAAACACATTTCAAATAGTCACATGTAGGATTTTATTTTTCTAGGAGAAATATGAAAGTATGAGTGTTTATTTTTCATTGAAAAAATATCAGTACTGCATATGCCAAAATATATCTTTTTAAAGATTTTATTTATTTACTTTTAGAGAGAGCAGGAGGGAAGGAGAAAGACAATGTGTGGTTTCCTCTTGAGCACCCCCTACTGTGGACCTGGCCCGCAACCCAGGCATGTGAGTGGAAGGGGAATTGAACTCGTGACCCCAGGTTTGCAGGTCGGCACACAATCCACTGAGCTACACCAGCTAGGGCATACCAAAATTTTTTTGATCTTTTGTATGTTTATAAGTATTCTACATTAATCAATTTATTATTTTTAATTTTTTAAAAATTATGACATACATATTTTTTCTTTTTCATGAGGTGACCATTAATATAAATGCCAATGCTTAAGAGTTCTTTCTTCATATTGTAGATATTTCCTGAATCTATCACATAATATAACTTTATTTTAAAATCACGTACACCACTTTATATAAATACACAGATACATGTTTTATGCTCACATTATTGAAAGAAATAAACCAAAATACAGTCTGTCTGTGACAACTTGTTTTAAAGAGAATAAGCACATTCATATTTGGTAAATGGGAATGTCAATATACAGTGAGCATCATGCTGTCTCATGTGTAACTTTCTCCCACTTTCAAAATGGTTCAAACACGTTTATTCATAATGAAATGGAATCTTTAACAATACATAAAAGACAGTAAGGAATATCCTGCAAATGTCTTTCTTAGTGCAAGCAGTGACTAGTGCAGTGACCTCAAGAACTGCTAACACTTTCCACTATTAAGCTACATACAGATGTAGTAGGCAAAATAATGACACCCCCCCCCACCCCTGCCAAAAAGTCCATGTCCTAATCCCACAGCCTATGAATGTTAGCTTATACAGCAAAGGGAAATTAAGATGACAGATTTAGTCACTTGCTAATGAACTGAGCTTAAGATAGGGAGGTGACCCTGGATTACCTGGGTAGACCCAGCATAACCACACAGGTCGTTAACAGTGGAAGAGGGGAACAGAAGACAGTCAGAGGGAAATGGCTATAGAAGAAGGTAAGAAGGATTCAACCAGAGTTGCTGGCTTTAAGATGGAGCAGGGGGGGCCATGAGCCAAGGTAGGTGGTTTCTAGATGCTGAAAAAGGCAAGGAAACTGACTATCCCCTAGAACCTCCAGAAACAAACACGAACCGGCCAATGATTTCTGTGCCAAACTTCTGACCTGCAGGATAGTGAATCTGTATTGTTTTAAGCTACGAAGTTTGTGGTAGTTTGTTAGAGCAGCAATAGAAAACTAATACCACAGGGAAACTACAAGTACAGATAAAAAAGTTGGGAAGATGTTTCCCTCATTATTTTCAAATAAAAATGGTTGATGCAGGATGCTACCTCTGATGTTTTTAATCATGGTAAGTAGCTCCTCAAAGAAGCATAAGACTCACAATACAGGTCTGGCTGGTGTGGCTCAGTGGACTGAGTGCTGGCCTGCAAACCAAAGGGTCACCAGTTCACTTCCCAGTCAGGGTACAGACCTGGGTTGTGGGCCAGGGCATGTGAGAGGCGACTGATAGATGTATCTCTCACACATCTATGTTACTCCCTCTCTTCCCGTCTCTCAAGATAAATAAAATCTAAAAAAAAAAAAAATACAGGAATATAAATCATGGACTGACATAATTCTAGGTGCAAATGTTAGTGGAGGTTTAACTATATTTTTATTATTATAAATATATGGGGTTTTGGTATAGCTCTGGTTAAAAATTATACAGGGTTTTTTGTTTTTGTTTTTTTTTAAACAGCTTTATTAAGAGTTAATTCAAGTACAATTCACACATTTAAAGTATGCAATTCAATAGTTTTTAGCATATTCACAAAGCTATCAACATCACCAATCTAGTTTTAGGACATTTTCATTACTAAAGAAGGAACCCTGTACCTATTAGCAGTCACTCACCATTTCCCTCCAACTATCCCCTCGTGACCACTTACCTACTCTCTCTACGGATCTGCCTATCCTGGACATTACATTTCAATGGAATCATATGTGATCTTCTGTGTCTGGCTTCTTTCACTCAGAGTAATGTTTTCAAGGTTCACTCATGCTATAGCATATATCAATATTCCATTCCTTTTTCTTCCTGAGCAACTCCCCATTAGTATGGAGTCCCTCTTTGTATTTACCCATTCATTAGTGATGGACATTTGGGTTGTTGCCACTTTTTGGCTGCTATGAATAATTATGGGCCCTGGCTGGCATAGCTCAGTGGATTGAGCATGGGCTGCAAACCAAATTATCACAGGTTCGATTCCCAGCCAGGACACATGCCAGGGTTGCAGGCCACGGCCCCCAGCAACCGCACATTCATGTTTCTCTCTCTCTCTCTTTCTCCCTCCCTTCCCTCTCTAAAATAAATAAATAAATCTTTAAAAAAATAATTATGAGTAATGCTGTTATAGTCACTGGTGTGTAACTTTTGTGTTTTCATTTTGCTAGGAATAGGAGTGGAATTTCTGGATCTATGGTAACGCTATGCTTAACCTTTTAAGAAAGTGCCGAAGAGTTCTGCAAAGCAGCTGCACCATTTTACATTCCCACCAGCAATGTATGAGGAGGGTTCAATTCCGCCACTGTGCCTTGCCATCACTTGTTATTATTTGCCTCTTTGATTACAGTCATCCTAGTGGACGTGAAGTGGTTCTGATTTGGATTACCCTAAGAGCCAATGACATGAGCATCTTTTTACGTGTCCACTGGCCACTGGTACATGTCCTGCAGAGAAATGTGTATTCAGATCCTTAAAAGCTGAATAGGTTTTTAGTGGTTTGTTCCCATAACCTCTGTTTTTTGTGCATGGTTTTCAGAGGACAAGAAGATTTTTCTGGAACACACATATGGAGATAACAGAAAAATCCGTATTACCTATAGTTATATCTTACACTGTGGTACTATGGGAAAAGGGCATATTATTTTCTTTTTGCTCAGCTATATTTTTTGAACTTTCAACAACACATACATTACTTTTGTGTCAAAAAAATGTTTTTAAGATTTTATTTATTCATTTTTAGGAAGAGGAGTAGGGAGGGAGAAAGAGAGGGAGAGAAACATCAATATGTGGTTGCCTCTCATGTGGCCCCTACTGGAGACGTGGCCTGCAACCCAGGCATGTGCCCTGACTGGGAATTAACTAGCGTCCCTTTAGTTCACAGCCCGTGCTCAATCCACTGAGCTGTATCAAAATTTTTTTTATAAATTATTTAACTTAACTCTATCACTTATAAGTCACTGGTTTTATTTTTCTGCAATACATCCTTTAAAACTCCACCTTCAAACTCAAACTAAAAAAAGTATCAATCAATACAAGTTCTTGATTCTCAAATTGAAATACTTCTAAAATGATTATACTGAGATTAAGACTATACAGAGTACTTTTTGACCTGAACAAAGCAAGAGTTACTGTGTTACATCAAGCTATGATGATTAAACAGCATTGCTACTTCAGACCCTCAAACCTTTAAGGGGCTCTACATAGTGCGATCCCTTATATTTCAAATTAGGAAAAATAATCTAAGAGAAGTTGAATGATTTGAGAGTCACTCATTTCAGGCCTGAATAACTAAAAAGAACCAAGATGGTATATGGCCAAAATGAACATGAGAAGTTACCACAGAAGATTCAATGCAAATTCTTCAAAAAGTCAAAAAGAACACAGTGCTACTCACCGATATGGAAGCCTTTCATAGTATGTCTTTTCCAAAGCAGCAAAATGGTATCTTGGTTTCAAGCCTGTGGCAAGACTGGAGACCAAAGCAGAGCCACATTTTTTGGTATCTACTTCTCCCTAGTAAAGAGAAACTCTTAACAAACAAAAGTCATCCTAACAAACCTAAGAGTAACCAAGAAATGGGGAAAAAAAAAAGACACTTTGAAATGTCTTCAAAATCTGTATGTGGATACAAACATGGGCAGAATTTGCACAGCAGGTTCCACACTATGGCAGTCGGAGAATCTCAAACATACAGGAAAACTGGGCTATTGTGAATGCAAAAATAGGAACAACGGCCAGAAGCCAGAGGTTAAAAGGCCAGTCCTCCATACTAATACCCAAAATGGGGTTTATTAAACCCATTACAATGCTTTTTGGAAAATAAGCTCTCTTTCTGAAGCCCAGAGACTGTGCTTCTATAATATGCTTTGTTGTGCACCTCCAGTTTGTACAATGCAGATTGTCAATGCACAAAACAGAACTTAAAGCTAGCTTTCAGAGCCCCTAGGACCTACAGAATACTTGGTGTGGAATAGTCAAGGCCTTTATCACATAAGCATGCAATCCTTTATTTTGCTTCAGTTCAAGAAGCTGAGGTTTGTGGAAGGGCACACCATGCCCTTGTTATAAAGTCTGCCAAAAGTTAGGCTTGTTTCCAGACCATCTCCAGCTTCCATGAACAATCAATTATGTGATCTCTCATCCATAATGTTAATCATGGACTCTAAGAGAAGGTACTAGCTGGAAATCAATTACCAAGGTTAACTTTCCACTAAGCAAAGCAAGAACTCCCTTGTGCCTTAACTTGCCTCCTTCTGGATTCTGAAGGCCAAGAAATTGGGCCTTGAGATTAGTTGTGTTATCTTATGTAGTGGTGAACTATACTGTTTTCTTTTCCCTATTAAGTGTCTTGTAAGGTTACTTATAAACTTTGAACAAAATCTTTTTTAGCACCCCCAAAATAAAGGAGGCTCTTTCTTCTCCTCCTTCCTTACAGAGCATCACATGTCTTTCTCCCTTCCATCATCAGCTAAGCAGTCTTCTGGATCTTCCCTAGCTTCGCTGTCTGTTCTTTGTGCTGCAATCAGCACTGTCCCTCGTGTTCTAGGTGAAGAATAACCCTGGGTTTGTGGAAGGGGGAGAGAACTTTGTCCTTTTTCCTTACAACATCCTTCCTGACAATGCCTGGAATCTTCCCGGCCTGTTTGGTCATAGACACACTGTGCTGAAGTGGCAGGGAGTGCTCTACAAGACCCTTTTCTGGATCATCACTGAGAACTCTGCATCCATTGACTGGTATTCGCCTCTAAATGCGTTCTGACATTTCCCTTCACTGAAGGTCAGCTGATGATTTCCGCCCCACACACAAACCATTCCAGGTCTTCCTTAGGCTTCTTTCCACCGATACAGTATTTTCTAACTCATGATAGCTATTACTCACCAACCTGGGGTACACCCTCTTCTACACTGCTTATAAAAATGTTAAGATCAAGCCCTGGTTGGTGTAGCTCAGTGGATTGAGCATGGGCTGCGAACCAAAGGATCGCCAGTTCAATTCCCAGTCAGGGCACATGCCTGGGTTGCAGGTCAGGTCCCCAGTGGAGGCCACGTGAGAGGCAACCACACATTGATGTTTCTCTCCCTCTCTTTCTCCCTCCCTTCCTCTCTCTCTACAAATAAATAAAAAGATATAAAATTTTTTTTTAAATATTAAGATCAAATGCTACAGTGAGCCCCAATGCTCACTGGGTTTCACATTAAAGGTTTCACATTAGAGAAGTACCAAGTTTTCAACATCTCATTTCCTATCTTTAGGTTTTTAGATCACATTCTTTGATCCCATAATGATTCCATGTAAAAAAATACTTTAATAGCCAAAAAGTTATAATCTGGAATGGAAGGAAAGAAAATACAACTGCAGAGCTGCCACATGATATAAATCTTTTTGTTGAAAATTAGTGAACCTCAAAACATATTGACAGGAGGCATGAGCAAGGGAACCTGAAGCAGAAAATATAATTTAAAGAACCATTAATTTATAATTAAGATTTCAGCAATCTCAGCTGTGAATCAAGCTTTTATAAGATCGACTTTTGCTTTGATCAGTTAATATAGCTTTAAATATCTTGAAAAAATTCACAAAAATATTTCTACTGAAAAGTTTTAAGAGCTGAAATACTTAATACAAAGAACAAAAAAGCTCAAATTAAGCCAGTGCAATTTGCTTGTAAAAGTGCCAGCTGAACAAGTACTACTCACAGAAGAATTCCCAAAGTTCCCCACATACTTGGGCCAAGGGGAGGTGAGCAAGATATCAACACCCTTAAACTGGGGTATGGCACACAGCATTGTTCTCAGAGAAGACACATCCTTGGGACTGAAACTGTAACCTGGAACGGGCTCATTTGAGGACTCTGTTCCGCTCAGGTACACAATCTGCAGCCCCGAGCTTCCAGTAAAGACACCTTTCCGACCTGGGTTCAAAGAAAAATGGACAAGTTTTAGTCAAAACTGCAAAAGGAAATGTCAATATGGTGGTGAACATCTCTCTGCAGGCCAGGACTCTCCCACCTCCATGCCTCCCTATGTGTCTGAATGCGTGGAAACTCCCAGATCCCCCTTCTGGCTGCTAGGCCCTGTGTTGGAGGCTACAGCAGTATTCCTGCTCAGTACAGCAGCCCTCACTCGGAGACAGCTGGAGCCCCGAGCTGGCCTATTTACCCCGGTGCTAATGGAAACAGCTGGAAAGCACTGATTAAGAGAAAGGCTTTCTGCCTTCTAGAGGAGATTCTACACGGATTAAAAGAAACCCAGACACCTGGATATAGGGAGAGGCAATTAAAAGAAAATAATGACTGCAGTTCGGAGGAAGGTAGAGTCTAGAATAGGTATGCTCTTCATGCAGGCAGCAGCTACCAACTGAAGGAGAACATTTCAAAGGGAAAAATCAGAGACTCTACCCTTTTCTAAATTCATTCCCGGCTTGTGCCTTCAAGACCTTGCTCCATCAATTTTCGCCTTCCTGTCATCTACAGAGTCTCTGCAACTGCTTCTTTCCATTCAGGAAATAGAATATTAAACATACTAATTAATATACATACTAATAAAGGCACATGCTGATTAATAAACATACATACTAATAAAGGAACACACATACTAACTATAATGAAACGTCCTCCTCTTCAGTTTCAAATCTTCAGTTTCAAGAGTAGTCTGTCCTAAGTGTTTACCTCTTAGCTCCTTAACCCCCTGCAATCTAAGAGTTTCCCTCTCCCATCATTCTCTTAAAGGCCACTAATCACCAGTGGTCTCTCTATTCAGGGAACTGTTCTCTCCTAACTTAGTCTATGAACTAGATAGAATCTTTACCTCTCCCAAGCCTCCTCGAATTACTGTCACCTCCCTGCCTGCTCCTAGGTGAAGATATATGCCCCCACCACAAGATGCTATCATCTGCCTGCTTCCCTTCTCATGTTTCTTACTCAACAACCCAATCCTCTTCTCAGCTTCTTTTCTCCTCCTTATGAGACCGGTTCCCAAAAATCTACACTCTTCAGCACCAACTTGTTTATACACTCTGGGGAGACCACGTCCCACTATATGCTGGATGTTCTGCCAGCACTTCAAGCTCAGTATTACACATTCACTATTAAGTTCATTGTTCACTCCTCCTACTGGATCCCAAAAAATCTTTCCCAGAAATAACCCAAATACCTCAGCCGCCCTTTCCACTCCTGGCACTAAATCTGCATGGGAAAACGGCTGTCGCAAATATCTACAGCAGTGGTCTCAATCCAAATCTAGTAATTACAGCGAGAGCTGCAGTCAGTCACGCCCATGTTAAGCTACAGCAAAGGGATTTCCAAATGTGTATCTCACTACTGTGGTTAAAAACAAAAATCTGTCCTCAATTTTTTGCCTAGAAGAGCCCAAGACAACTGAAATACGATGAAAATGCTTATAGGATGGCCACAGTCAGACGAAGAGAATCCAATAAAGGCAAAGACAGACTAGGGCAGGGAGGGAGAAGGAGAACACTTACAACAGAGAAAATGTAAGAGCTTTCCAGAGAACTGAGAGGCCAGAAAGGGGGAAATATGAGAGCGGTGGAGCCATTTTAGGGAAAAGTGAGCTGAGTGATCCAAGAGGCCGCAGGCTGACAACGGGTAAAGGGAAAACGAAATGGCAAAATGATGAGAAAAACCACTGAGAGAGATGCAGGGCAGGTGGGAGGGAACAACTTTAATCTGGAATTAGAAGAGCAGACCTGGAATAGGAAAAGGACAAGGGAGTGAAAAACTCAAGGATCAGCACAAAAAATGTCGGTTTGCAAAAGCTCAGTGAGACCTACAGCTACAGCTAGTTAGGAACCTAGTAAGTAAGCTGCATGTTATATGGTGAGACCACAGACATAGATCTTTTTAAACATAATTTATACCTTAAATTATATATACCCTGTAGTCAAGTCAATTTATTCCTCTGTTTGGCTGAAAGAGTATACATCTGGTTGTGGGAACACAAGGAGGCTGGAAGGAGGAAGGCCAGACCACAAAGGGAAAAAATGCTGTGGTCTTAAGGGTATAGGCACAGACTTTGGGAAAGAACCCTCCTGACCCCCATTCTCTCAGGTAGTAATGGCAGGAGAATCCAGCCACAAGTTTCCTAAGAGCTTTGATTATATTCATTAAAAACACCAAAAATATCAACTTACCTAGGTAAGTAATGTTTTCAGCTAATTCACACCCATCAGCATCTTGGAAATACTTTACTGTCTCCTGGTTATTGGCACCCAGCACATATGTCTGAATAGGAGCTAATGAGAGAAGCAGACATGACACCAGAGTTACCAGATTTGCTTAGGAACTTGAGAAATGCTTCCCCATAGGAAAAATAATCATAGGAAAAACTGGAATATGATCACCTGTTAGGATATCCTACACCCAACCTTATGGTCTGATTATTAAATGATATCACCAAGATGATGAAGTGACACCTTAAAAAGGATAGTCAATGTATAATTACGAAAACATAGACCCTAAAAAGTTTAATTAAAAAAAAACACTAATACTGGAAAAATGAAAGAACATACAAGGTCTGTCTAGAAGGTAACCAGCCATGTAATTTGAAAAATACAGACATTTAGTGAAGATACAAGATACAAGAAACACTATATACAGGACAATGACGCCTCAGTCCCCTTCAAAGTAGGACACTGGGATCTCACCCAGTTCTCTCAGTCACCTCAGCTGCCCTGTTATATTTTCCTGAATCTCAATGGTCTGAAATCTCTTCCCTTTCAATGGTGATTTTAGTTTTTGGAAAAGCCAGAAGTCTCACGGTTACAAATCTGGCCTGTATGGGGGCTGAGTCACCTGGGTGATTTGATGTTTTGTATCAAAAACTCTACACGAGATGTGATGCACGAGTGAGTGCACTGTCATGAAGAAGCTGTCAATCACCTGTTGCCCATAGCTGCAGTCTTCTGAATCATCTGAATTGTTTCCACAGAGGAATGTTTAAGCTTAACACAAAATCGAATGCAGATTTGTTGCCCTACTTGATCATTTTGAATGGGATGGCCACACAGTACACATGCTTACTCAGTGGTGTCTACCGCCCCCACTAACTAGTACAGTGGGGTCGCCATTGTTTCTGCATGCACATTCCAGTCCACTCTCCTTGGCTGCCAGGTTACATAGATGTTGCGCAAAACTGCTCTCATTATATTGACAATGGCTGGAATTTTTCTGGACAGACCTTGTATATGGTTTCATTTTTTTCAATTCCTGCCTACTTACAAAATAATGAGTTTTCTGGAACTAATTCCAACCAAATTCAAAAGGTGAACATTTAGATGCGTATGCATCCTTCTGAGACCAATGCAGAGCTCAAAGGGAAATTGTTAAATGACTAACACATGTGAAAACAACCCAGAAAAAACTGTGTAGTCTTGAAACTGTATTAGAAATCATTTGTTAAACAAAAATAATTTCTATACCTTTTTTGATGCCAGTTTTATATTCCTCCCATTCAGCATCTGGAGCAGAGCCAAAGAAATTTCCTACACACAACAGCAGCTAAAATGAGTTTTTTAAACAGATATATGAGATTCATTTATATCAAATAGTGCATAATTCATAGTAACATTATTCAACTAATTATCCTAAGTAATGGTCTCAAACCAAGTTTTTTCCTTAATCAGTTTGCATAATTCTTTAGTAACAATTGTAGAAATTACTAAATTTTGTCTCAGTGACTGTCAAATTCAAGTTGGGGTGGGGACAAGGGGGGTCCAGGGAAAGATGGAGAAATCAACCTTGAAGAAGCCCTCTGTGAAATATAAAACTTTAAATATTAGATACCTTGAGAAATACAGGGCATAAAAAAACATTTCCTGCCTATTGTCTGTATTCAACCTTTAACCCAGGGAACACATGATCCCCATACTTAGAATATTCTTCTGTACTCTAGGAGTTTACAGTCTAGGTGGCAACCACACACAACATTTAAGGTGCTTTGGTTTGTGAAGCATTTGTTCATGTCATCAGACTTAATCTAATCTACACCAGACACTCATGAAATACACCTGTGCTTCTCAAACCCAGTGGTGAGAATCACTTAGGGATGTTCTGCTAGTCTGCTTTCACATTTGTCTACAGTATTAATGTAACAAGATTGAAATTTTAAAAGTATAAAAAGGTAAACAGGTCTCCCTTACCCCACTACTCTGCAGCTGCTAAGTTCCTATGCTCACAAAAGGTACCCAATCTAACAACAACAAAAAAAGAGTTATGTGTTCAATCAAGAAATGAAAAAAGGAGCCCAATTTTATTTTAATATGCTGACAATAAAATTAAATTCAGAAAAAGGAAACATCTTACGTCAAAGTTTCCACTTTTCTTCTGAATTGCTCGAACTCTATTGAATAAAACATCAAACTTTCCTTCAACATCTCCACAAGCCAAGCTGCAAACAAGAGATAAACATTAAGGCAATTCAGGAAACGTGAACGAGCCTGCCAGGCCTTCCTGGGTCACGCAGATACGTGATCCAGTCTCTCTTATGTTACCTGAGAGGTACAGTGCGTGTGAACCGCTCCTGACCACTGGGCACTTCACCTAAAGATCTCACCAAGACCTTCAACCTATCATATCTAAAATGTACCTTATCATTTCCCCCAAAGTTGAACCAGCATCCTCCTCTCACTTCCCCAGTTTTGTGGATTGGTCTATCACCAACATGGTCACAGACAGTCAAAACTCTCCCCTCCAGTTACCAAATCCCATGGATCCCTTTGTCCAAACATCATACACATCCCCTCTGTTCTCTTTATTTCCACTGTCATTACCTTAGTACAGGGCTTCAATCATCCACTGAACAAACACATCCTGAACTCTGACATATGCTATGTGCAGTAAGCCAAGCACTGTGCTAAGAATGTGTCAGGAGTACAAAGAGGAGGAAAACAGTTCAAGCCTCAGAGTTTACAATCAAGGAAGGGGAGGTATTCTGATCATCATAAATTTATACAGGGTGGGGCAAAAGTAGGTTTATAGTTGTTGGTATGGAAAATAATGCAATAATTAATAAATAATATTACAAGAATGTTACTCTGTGCTTTGCAAACTCACAACTGTAAACCTAGTTTTACCTCATCTTGCTTAAAAATGGCTATAAATAGGAGGTATGTGTAAAGTGTTATCGGGCAGGGAGGGAGGAAGTGGCAAGAGCTAAGGTTCATGAGGCAGACTGGCACTAAGTTGTGAAGTAACTTGTCCTATTATTTCATTTCTGAGTTTTACTAATTCTGATTTATATTGTTTTTCCACCTATACTGTTTTCTTAATGTCTTTTAACTCATCTTGAAACATATTTCTTATTGTTTTGTCATTATGTCTTTCTGGTGTGCTTTTATTGTCCACATCACCAAACATTTTCAAGCTGGGTAGTGGCGTGAGCACATCTGTTCTAGAAAGATCGTTTTAGTAACAGAGTGAAAGGTGGTCTGGAGGAACGACTGCCTATAAGCAAAGTTATCAGTGAAAAGGGCAATGTCAAATGCCATTGGGGAAGAAAAGGACACATGGGAAATTTAGAATTCTGAAGGCCTGAATACAAATGGCAGAGGAGGATGGGAAATGGAGGAGGAGGAATGGAGGAGAGCTGCAAGGCTGAGTGACAGACAGCCCTGTGATAAGGCAGGGGCAGAAATATAATGAGAAAAGGGCGAGAAATAAGGCAGGGGCGAGAAATATAATGAATCTGGTACTGGATACAAAGTACAGAATCCACTCACATCTCCTCGAATGCCTTCTCTTCTTCCTGTCCATCTTACATAAAGCCAACAATGTTCCTTCCTCAAAAACATTAAGAGAACTCACTCTACTGTGTGCAGAGGCACAGCCTTCCACAAATCCCCTAATCTCTTCCCAGAGTTTCTCCAAGTTTCCCTCCGAGATGCCTTCCTGTCGATCTGATCACTTCTGTCTCTGCCATTCCCTGGGGTAGTTACTTCTTCTATCAGTCCCACCCTACCCATCCTGAGTCTAAATTTTTCCCATGTTTCAAATCCCGGCACATCTCTCAAGTCTTCCTGGCTGGGGCAGAAGTCACTCTCAAAACTTCAGAAACCTATACAGCATTTCAGAGCAAGCTCTGTAATAACCTAGTAAGCATTTTTTATCTGTTGAGCACTACCTCTTTTAGGAAGCCCTCCAGTCCCTATCAGTCACCAATTTCTGGTGCTCCCACAGAATCCTGCTCTTCCTCTATCATAGTAGTTCTCACATGGAATTACAATTATTTCTGGGTGAGCCAATGGTTCAGTTTGTGACATCACAAGACACCTCAAAATTCATCATCTCATCTGGGCCCTTTTTCCGGTGTTTCCTATTCCACTGAAGAAAGAAGAAATCTTGGACCCCAGCAGTGCTGACCTCTTCTTATGAACCAAAATATTTCAAGCCTTGTTGAGTTCATCTCCTTAATAAACCATGAATCTCTCTGGCAGGTGTGGCTCAGTGGATTGAGTGCCTGCCTGTGAACCAAAGGATCCAGGGTTTGATTCCCAGTCAGGGCACATGCCTGGGTTAGGAGGCAGGTCCCCAGTAGGGGGCACGCGACGGGCAACCACACATTGATGTTTCGCTTTTTCCTCTCCCCTCTAAAATAAATATTTTTTAAGAAAGGAAAAAAAAAAACATGAATCCCTGCACTTTTCTTCTGTCATCACTCTATCTAATCCTAGCTGTCCGCTACTTTGGCTCTAATGTGTTCTCCACATTGCAGTCAGAATCACTTTCCAAAACAAAAAGTTGATCATGCCAAGCTGATATTAAACATTTCAATGACTTTTTTTTAGGATAAAGACAAAAATATTATGTAAGGCTCAATCCTCACTTCTCGCATTAGGCCAAATACTCCTACCGTACACCCACTCAGCACTGTTAACTTTTTCTTCCTGATATTCATCATTACTGTAATTTTACACATATCTGGGTTATCTGATTACTGTGTTTTTCTTCACTATAAGCTCCACTGAGGCAGGAACTCCACCGATGCAAGGTCTCGCACGCCGCAATTGTTCAATACTTGTCGGATGAATGGAAGTCATCTCCGCGATCCTAACGCCTCCCCTCCCTCCTCCCTCCACAAGTGTGCGTCAAGGCGGAGGCCCTATTCATCCACCCCGTCTCCCTCTGCCCGGGGCCTACCAATCGGCCCCGCGCCTAGAAACTCTGGTTAGGTAAATGGGGTGCAGGAAGAAAAGAAGGGTAAAGGATGGGTCAGGGCAGAACCCAGCATGGCTTGACAGGGAAGAGGCCTAACACCGGGAACTTCCGCTTCCCTCAGCGAGTATCTCCGCGAGTCCCCGCTCGGGAGCGAAAAAACGGCAGGGGACAGAGGCCGGCCCGGCCAGGTGAAGATGTGATCGGACACCGCAGCCCGCAAAGATGCGAACCGAGCTCTCAAGCCTCCGCCGCGCTCCCACCCCCGCCCTTCCCCGCTCCCTTCCCGTCTGGAGAAAACGCCCGATGGGTAGACGCAGGCGCACACACAGAGGCTTCCGATTCGGAGTCACTCACAGGCGCAGCGGTTTCTCAGCCATCGGTAACCCCGAAACACGTTTGCGACCACCACCGAAAACTAGGACGCCGAAGCCGCACTCCTCCGAAAGATGCGCCCGCAGCACAATGAAGACGTCAGCACACCTCGACCAACGAAGGCTTAGTTATCTACGGAGAGCGCCGAGGGCCCGCAGCCTCTCGCAATCAGTTTCTTCTCAAGGCGGAATTAAGTGGAAAGGAGAAATGACAAAAAAGAATCCCATTTTGATTTTTTATCTCGGGACAACTGAAGTGACTGAGTTGCTAGAAAGTTCCCAGCACAATGTTGGGCCTATCCTAAAGCCTAACAACATTATGCTAGTAAGCAAGACACTTCCTCCACACGTCATTTTTATAGGTGTTGAACCTGTCAAAAGTTTTTTAAAAATGGCTGTTGCCTTCAAGGTGCACAATCACTTTTATTCTGAATCATTTCAAAGTAATGTGGAGACATCGAGAATACCTCTGAGTGCATTCCCTAAAAATAAAGACCACCCTCCTTATTCTTAGAAATAAGGACATAACCATAACACCATTCACACACCTAAGAAAACTGACATTACTTCAGAAATACCACCTAACAACATACATCTCCTTGGTCCCTCCTCCCTCAATTTTATATCTTCATTGGCTTTCATTCGGAATCCAAACAAGTTTCACACTTGCATTCGATTCTCTCTAGTTGCTTTTAATCTACAAGAGCCCACCTGCGTTTTTGGTTTTATTTTTCATGACATTGACTTTTTGGAGAGTTCAGGCCAGTTGGTAGGAGACAACAGTGTTTACAGAAATTGAAACAAAGATGAGTGCCGGAGTTCCTGGCAACTGAGGGGCATGGAAAACACCCCAAGCAACTCAAAATTAACTAAAAATAAGTGTAAGGGAGAACAAAAAAGTTGTTTTCCTTACAACTTCTGCAGTACTTTTTTGGTAAGTATCGTGTTCCCTGCCTCATGAATATTGATGCCCTCCTTTGCTGGCAAACTAAGCATGTGTTTTTCCACTTTGAGGTAATACAACACAGCACAGGAGTGGAAACAGATCAAGACTGAACCTTGAAGAACAGTGGAAAAGATGGGTAATAATTTCAGGAAGAGGGAAAAACAGTAAGAAATGAAATTCATCCATGGAATTCTGTACTATCTTTAAGACTTTTATGCAAACCTGTAACTATTCTAAAGTAGAAAGTTTATGAAAACTCATCCATGAGAATTAAGGTAGATCAAGATAGCTGAACACCACGTGTCAGAGTAACAAAAAAGGAAACTGAAAAAAAGGAAAACACAGAAAACTTACACGCATGCCAGTCTGGCTTTAGAATACATTCTTCTCAAGTGCACATGGAACGTTCTCTGGGATGGTCATATGTTAGGCCACAAAACAAGCCTCAACAAATTCAAGAAAATAGAAATTGTATCAAGTATCTTTTCCAACTGCAATGGTGTGAAACTAGAATTCAAAACCAGGAGGAAAACTGTAAAATTGATGGATATGTGGAAATTAAACAACACACTCCTGAACAACCAATGTACCAAAAAAGAAATGTAAAAAAGAAAGTAAAAAAATATCTTGAGACAAATGGAAATGGAAACACAACATACCAAAACTTGTGGATGTAGCAAAAGCAGTTCTAAAAAGGAAGTTTATAGCTATACATGTCTGTATTAAAAAAAAGTATCTCTCACCCTGGCTGGTATGGTTCAGTGGATTAAGTGCCAGCCTGTAAACCCAAAGGTCACAGGTTTGATTCCCAGTCAGGGAACAAGCCTGGGTTGCAGGTTGGTTCCCCAGTTAGGGGTATGGGAGAGGCAACCTATCAATGTATCTCTTACACATTGATGTTTCTATCCCTCTCTTGCTCCCTCCCTTCTCTCTCTAAAAGTAAATGCATAAAATCTTAAAAAAATATATCTTGGGTCTTAAGAACTTCAAAACCGCTCTGGCTGGCGTAGCTCAGTGGATTGAGCGCAGGCTGCAAACCAAAATACCGCAGGTTCAATTCCCAGTAAGGGCACATGCCTGGGTTTGCAGGCCACAGGCCCCGGCAACCGCGCATTGATGTTTCTCTCTCCCTCTCTTTTTCCCTCCCTTCTCTCTCTAAAAATAAATAAATAAAATCTTTAAAAAAACTATAAAAAAAAGAACTCCAAAACCAAGGGAATATCTTTGCAAGAGAAATTATATACTCTCAAAGCAGACTTATTTCTGACCTGAAGAAACTATTATTAACAGAGGACTGTTATTCAATGGTAGACAAACTATAAAAACTTCTAAAAGAATTATCAAGAACAAAGTAATAATTTCATTATAACAGAAAATTATATCAAGGAACAGCACACCTCCGTGAACCAGAAAAAGAGCAAACTAATCCCAAAGTCAGAAGGCAGGGAATAATGAAAATTAAAGCAGAAATAAATGAAATAATCAAGAGGAAGACAGGGTAAACAGTTGGGGTCTGGAGCAGAGACAGTGGGAAATGACAGAAACAAAGTTAATTTAGAGATGGAACTGGGGACTTCAGGTACCTTTCTAGCTGCTAACACCCAACTCTGGGTAAGGCTGTGTGCCTTCTAAACTAAACTGGTCAGTCAGTATCTTCCATCCACTGATGTCTTTGGTCTGCAAGGAAAACAAATAGAGCCCAGAACGCCCCTGACCCTGCAGACACAAGTAGAAAGATATTTTATAAAATGCTTTATTGTATGAGCGGCGGCCCACCTCCCCACCTCACACATACACATCCTGTCTTTATCACATTTCCAAAAGGGAGTACACGGTGAGATGCCATCCATCCTCTGACATGACTCTCATGAAGAAGGGACAGGAGGGCCCATCACGTATACCCAGCTATCGCAATACTCCTCTCAGTGTTTCTGTTCAATCGAGAAGACTCGGCCTGAAATTACTGTCAGATTTTTTATTATTTGCAATGTTATGGAAAAGTAAATTACTGACTTACAAGATGACAGACTGTAGAGAACTTTGTTTTGTTTTCCTTTTTTATTTGAGAATCTTGTTAGCAATACATTAGCATCAATAGAAAAAACCATTTACACAGTAACTCAAAATCCAGCCACTTAAGAAAATAATGTAGAGAAAATAAGCCCTCTCATTTTCGACTGAAAAGCCCAGGTTTATCCTGAACTTGGAGAGACTCTGTGTCCTAAATGGATAATTAAGCATTCAAGTAAAAGGTAAGAGGTTATAAGTGTGAGTTTCTGAGGGATACTGCCCCAAGAGAAATTCAGGAGTAGCCACAATTCCCCAGTTTAACTCCAACGGTAGGATGTTTCTGGGATGGCCAACATGGTTTCCTTTTAAGAAGTTTTGACAACTCATCAGCCTCAGACTCAGGTCTTATAAAACATTCTTCCACATTAAACAAGACTTTATCCCACAGGAATCAAGTTTTCATCGCTTCTCCAGCTTCTTGTACTTGGCTTCTGTAGGGGGCGGGGAGAGGGAGAAGGAGTAGTATTTAAAACTGGCTCTTACAAAGATATTCTTAGTTAGCATTTCCAAACAAATTCAAAAATATCTATTGCATTTCTTTAAAATACATCAGTTTCAATTTCATCAACTGTCCAAACTGTGCAAACTGTAGGCACACCATGAAGGTTAACCACCACATTGGCTAAGGACATATTTGGATATCTGTCCGAATCTCACTGATAGGCACAGCCTAAGGTAAGAAGTGAAACACACACACAGAATAGAGAACCTAACACAAGTTCACTATGTTCTAACCCTGCCAACAGCGCCTGCTCAGATAGCTCCACCAGGAGGAGTAAGCAGATCTACTGGCCCCTGAGCCACCGGGAGCACAGGAAATTGCCTCTCCAGGCACTGTGCCAGCCCCCTCTGGGAGCGAGGCTGGAGCTCTCAGGGAGTATAAAGGTATATTTCACCTTTTATTTCCTTATCCCTGGAAAGCAATTTTGAAAGGCACAAAGATTTAAAAAGACCATCAAATGGGCCTCTTAATGGAATGGATTCCCTTTTTCTTTAATACCTTGTAAACACCTTGGTACAATGCCTTCTACATAGTAAGGCTCACAGTGACTATTCAGTAAATTAAATTGTGGTCAGTGAGCCCTGGCCGGTGTGGCTCAGTGGATTGAGTGCCAGCCTGTGAACCAAAATGTCACAGGTTTGATTTCTAGTCCAGGGCACCTGCCTGGGTTGCTGGCCAGGTTCCCAGTATGGGAGGCAACCACACATTGATGTTTCTTTCCTTCTCTTTCTCCCTCCCTTCCCCTCTCTCTAAAAATAAATAAATAAAATCTTTAAAAAACAAAGAAGAATTAAAAAAAATTGTGGTCAATGAAACTGTTAATCACCACCCACATCAAAATTCCATCTGCTACAAACTACTCTCTTGAAGTAGTCAACTGTCAACAACAAAAATAAAATAACCTGTAAATTATATTTAGGATAAAAACAGTTTTGTTATTTTTAGTTGTGGATATATGAGCCAGAACTAGTTAGCAAGCTATCAAAACTAAAAGTACAGTTTCTCCCTTAAAGAAAAAGTAATCCTTCATGAAGCCCTTTAACTGACTATTCTGTTTTTTAAGACATTTGTAGCTATATTATTAAAGATGCTTTCGCCTGCAGAACCACAATTAAGAGCTTAAGCTTTGTAATCAGTCAGACCTGGTTTGGAATACTTCCTCTATAGAAAGGAGATTAAAACCATGTACTTACCTCATAGGTTATTGGGAGGATAAAAAACATAATGTAGGTAAAGCACTAAGAACAGCTCCTGATAGATCAAGTACATGGGAAATGTTCTTTTTATTACTACTACTAATAAAAAAATTATTCTCACTACATTTTTGTGAAGATTAAAATAGATCATTGTGGGCAAATCATAAATGTTAATTATATTAACTACAGTCATACTGGCAGGTACTCTGATTAAATCAAGACAGAAATAAAAATGGTTACCCAGTTTTTTTGAATATGCATCCAACTTGTAGGCTGCCTGCTCAAGAGCTGCTACTTGCTCCTCAATAACATTGATTTGATCCAGATAAGGCTGTAGTTCAGCATCTTTAAAAACAGAAACAGACCACATGATTATATG